TCTTTACACTTGCATTGTGTACAAGCTGTCTCCACATGGTAAAGTAGAATAAAGAGCAAAACTCCCATTCTCATGTAACACGCCAGTTTTAGAAGGAATGACGCTCTGAGTGAAGGCATATGCAAGGAATAATTTCCTACAGTTCCCCAGTAATACTACTGTGTACACATTTTCTTTGGTGTTGAACTATTCTTTCCAACACCCCGACAAGATGGAAAAAATTTCATATTTTTTTAATTTATTCTACTGTGGGGTGTATTTATCATGTTTATACATATGTTACATAGTGTGTTTATTATGTAATTTTGAAAAAAATATCATAGACGGATTAATGAAAATGTCTATATTAATGTAATATACGATATTTAATGTGCCTCAGAGTGATTATTATTACAGCCTCTCCTCACTTAACGATGGAGTTTCGTTCCTAAGACCTCGTTGGTAAATGAATTCGTTACTAAGTGAGGAGCATGCTATAATGGTAGTGGGTTTGTGTCAACCATCTTTGGCATTGTTTTAATGTCACCTTTTTTACCATGTATAACATTTCTGGTATATATTTTAAATGTTTATACAATAGTGTACTGTATATTGTAATAAACAGAATAGAGGGAATCAGTTCTAATATACATTATTTAGGTATGCATACTGGTCAGAGAGCCCATCGTAAGTCCGAGTCATCGGTTAAACAAGTACGTTGCTAAGTGAGGAAAGGCTGTATTAACCCTTTCAGGTCCGTCCTGTAGATCTACGGCTTCACGTTGAGTGTCCAAACCGTAGATCTATGCCAAAATTCTAGCGCCGTCAAATTTAGCGCGAAAGTGCTCATAGGCCTACATGTGAGAGAATGGATCTGCGTGGTGGGTTGTGCGCCATAAACAAAAAATCTAGGCGCCCGCATAGCATTGTGGGAACGCTGGCTCAGTTCCCCTTGTTCACCATGCCTCGTCGCAAGTCAGCTCTCACTCCCTGGAAAATTGGGACTCTTCCTCTTCCTATCTGATAGTTCTGACACTGATGGAAGTGGAAATGAAGATTGAATTCTATGGCTTTGATCAGTTAGTGACCGAAAGGAATGACCAGGATATCGATAATAGTGCAGAAAACCCTGACGATCCTCAACCTTCTACCTCTGGTGTGGGCACTCGTGACTCATGGTCGGTTGTTCCTCAACGCAAGAGAAAACTAATATTTTGCGTGGCCAGGCCTCTGACTTCAGTAATGATGATGTAGTGACGTGGATTGTGATTTTATTGCGCTTGACAATCATTCGAGTAGTGATAGTGAGGAATCATATTCACCAGTGAAGCGTCGGTATGTTCGCCGCCGCATGCGCTCGGGTAGTGTACCCTATGCTGTGCCCAGGGGACGGAGTACATCCCGTGGCCCTACACCAGGTTTAGATAGTGATAGTGAGGATGATGTGGCTACACTTGGCATGGATAGACCACAGGCATCAGTAGATGGTGGTAGTGGTGATGGTAGTGGCATCGCCATGCGTGACTCACCAGCCCAGGCTGGGACCCACGCTGCTGACTCGTCAGTTCAAGGACAAAGCGGAGCATCAGCCACCAGCCCACCACAACCACAACCAGCCTATGATGTCCAGTATCCACCAGCAAACTGTATCTGGGATTGGCAGCAAAATCCCAATTTTGTTCCCAAGCCCCACCACTTCGATGACTCTCAAAGTGGAATTCTACCTACTTGTCCCCTTGGAACCACGGCCAATGAACTGGAATTCTTTGAATTATTCTTTGACCAGCCATTGATGGAAACTATTGTAGGGAAAGTAATAAGTATTTTGAGTTACACCATGGCAAATACAATCATATCGCCACAGTCAAGACTACACAGGTGGAAAGAGACGACTGTTGCAGAATGTATTTGCTTTTTGCAACAATATACTTATGGCCTCATGTCTATAAGCATAATATAAAAGCTACTGGTCCACAGATCGGCTAATTTCTACCCCGGTCTTCAGTGAAATCATCCCAGTGAACAGGTTTATCTTACTGTTACGTATGTTGCACTTCTCTGACAAAACCAGGCCTGACAGAAGTGACAGGTTATACAAGTTTAAAGAAATGTTTTCATGTATCTCAAACAACAAAAGTTCAGCATATACTTTTATCCATTCAAGAATCTTGTAATTGACGAGTCTTTGATTTTGTTCAAAGGTAGACTGTCATTCAAGCAGTATATACCGAGCAAGAGGAAATGCTTTGGTATAAAACTGTTTGTACTCTGTGACTGTGACAGTGGCCTGGTGTTGGATATTGTTGTATACACGGGAAGTAAAACATTGAAAGATACAAGATTTTTATTGGGTATCTCAGGTGATGTAGTGAGAAACATGATGGCACCTTATCTTGGTAAGGGGCATACATTATATACCGATAACTGGTACACAAGCCCATTACTCGGTGATTTCATGCGAGTTATCAAGACAGATGTGTGTGGCACAGTGTGTTCTAATCGTAAACATATGCCCAGGCTCAATGCAGGTGCTCGTGGTGATGACGTTCAGGTGTTTACTGTCAATGGCATCATGGCATTACGGTGGCATGACAAACAAGATGTCACATTGTTGACAACCATTTACCGTAATGAAATGCAAGGCAGTGGCAAAGTTGATCGAGTGACTAATGAACGTATTCGGAAAACCAGTGTCAGTGATTGATTATACACAAAACATGTGCTTGGTTGACAAATGTGACATGCAGATTGGTTTTGTTGATTGTGTTCGTAAGAGTTACAAGTGGTACATGAAACTTTTCTTCCATCTCTTGGACATTTCAATGCTCAATGCATATAATATGTACCAAATAAAGACTGGCAACAGACCACCGTATGGTGAATTTTGTTTGTCTGTTGTCAGAAAACTCATAATGAAGTACCAGGTAAGAACACCTGCTATACAACAAGGTCCTCGAATTACTCAGGATATACTCAAGGTTTGGGGGAGGGAAGGTGTCATTTCATAATACAGCTTCCTTCAATCAGAAGAAATTTGCTCAGAAGAGATGCATCGTCTGTGCACAAACAAAACGATGGCAACAAAGACGCAAAGACACTCGGTTTATGTGTGAGGAATGTAAGGTACCTCTGTGCATGGTACCTTGTTTCAAGGAGTTCCACAAGCTCCAGCAGTTCTAAAACCATGTCCCGTGATTGTAATATGTAAATATATGATAGAACATTAGTATTATACAAGATTTGTGCATGTTTATTGTAATAAACAACGTGGTAAACAATAATATGATAATAACTTTAGTGCGGTTTGAGTTATGTATTTTTATATACATTATATACAGTATTGGTCTCTCAGGCCCCAAATGTTAGTAGGAAAAGAAAAAAATTGGAAAAGAAAAGAAAAAACTATAAAAAACCGCTAATAAAGTAATGCGCGTATGTGGAATTCGTCGATGTTGCCGCC